AATAAACTCCGCGCGGACGCGCTCACATCGCGGCGCACTGTCCTCCCGGTAGCACGTTTTCGCGTAGCTCTCCGCCAGGATCTCCCACTCGTCCTTTCCGCTTTCCCGTTTTCCAGTCTCCCCCGCGAGCTTCCCGTCCGCCCGGCTTTCCCGCTCTCCCGTTTTTGTCCGTTTTTTTGTCCGCGCGAGGATCGGCCACCGTCCGGCACCGAGATGAGAATCCACCGGTCGGTTCGTCGCGGCCGCTCGCTCGTCGTTCGCGCTTAGCCGCGTCCCGCGAGGAATCACCCCCTCGGACGTCACATGTCATTGGGATCCTCGGATCGCGCCGCGTCCCGCGAGTGGAGAAGATCGACGACGCGGTCACTCGTGTCGAGCACTGGATCTGTGGAGCTTCGTGCTGCGCTGGGCAGCCAGAATGTCGTTCTTCAAGGGCTTGTGGAAGAGCAGCTCCAAGCACAAAAGTGAGTCCTCGGGCGCGTCGATCGTCGATCGCCGATCGCCGGAGCAACCGGACCGGCCGGAGTTCAGAGTTCCCGATAACGCACGCGTTATCGCGGCTCCGGGAAACAGTTCGCGACTCGGTTATCGAGCTCTCTGCGCGCCGGATTCGCTGATTTTTCTGTTTTCCGCCTCTGTTCCGTCTCGCGTCGCGGCCGGCTGCTCGCGGAGAATTCGACGGCCGATGAATTTTCGAAGATTGCGGGAGTATCTTCCAAGGGAACGCCAATTTACCAGTCTCGCCGAGTTCGATCGGAGGGAATCTCTCGACTGCGCGCGTGTTCCCTGGACGGACTCGCGGATGTTGCACGGGACCGGCCGAAATTCTAGCCCGGACGCCGGTAATCGGGGAGATTGCATTTTCTCGGCCGGCGGATCCGAGGAAGCTTATTTACCGGGCGTCGCTGCTCGGCCCGGTGATTAACGATAACGGTGTGCAGCTGCGAAATGCCGGGAAACGTTAACGGAGACGAGGAGACGCGGCGCGACGCGACGCGACGCGACGGCCGGCCGGAGCTGCAGCGCGGCAGTTAACGCGATTATTCGCAATAAGCGGCGTAATAGAGAGCCGCGTTTAAGATTATGGTAATGCATGCCGGCTCGCGTTATAGGCGCAATGTGACCTCCTTCGCAGCACTGATTATTGATCATAAAATTTGCATAATCACACTGCACGGGCCGCGCCGAGACGTTCGGATCAAACAAGTCCACGTGCGAGCTGCAGACTCTGTTGCCCTTCCCGCGGACGAGCGCTGTCGTATATCGGCGTCGATTACCGGGGCCGCCTAAAAAATTCCTCCGGGAAATTGCCGCGCGCCCGTCTACCCGGCGAGCGCAATTTCACGGTTAATCGCGCCCCGGGAAATTTCTTATCTCGCGATAAAATTTAACGAAAGAAGTTAACGAAGCTACGCCGCTGCGCTGCTCCCGCTGGGGGCCGGCGGAGTCTGGTCTCGCGACGGGCTTCCGCTTAGCCGAGCGACCGAATTTTTCGCGATTCCCCCGCGAGACGTTGCCGAAATTTCAGACGGCACCGCGGGAGATAAGTAGCGTCCCGGAAGACGATGAAATTAATTATGCTCCCCGTAAATTGCCGCGTAACCAGAAATTACGAGCCACCTTCTCTCGCGCGAGCGGTATTTTCTCCGAGTCCGGGAATCGGTCTCGGCTCTCTTGTTTCTTCGAGCTACAGCTCGGAGAGGAGGGGTGGCTGGGATATCTTCTTCGCGATTCCCTCGATATTCGACGCTCTCGAAAGGTTTCCCGGCACCGTTCCGGCTGGCAATTTGGCCGTCACATCGGCTACGGCTATTGTCATTGAGATTCCTACGGAGGTCCGAGTTTTCTCTTAAATTCTATGCTGGAGGGTTGGTTTCTCATAGGAAACCCTAGAAATCTATAAATAATTGCTCGTATCAACCCCTTGCCCTAGAACGAGTGAGACTCGGTGAAGATTTTCAACAGGATTCAACAAATATATATATATTACTCAGTTCATTCGAATTCAAAGTGAATATTATTCCCTGTAATCAGGTATTATACTTAAAAGGAAACATAGGCGTAACGTATGCTTAGAATTTTTCTCTTTTCCCAATAAATTATCAATGACAAAGTGGCCGTATCGATCAGAGTTGAGAAAGAAATCAAAGGGGTTACATGAACTCTAGAACTTTTGCCGGAGTTACTCGTACAAATAGAATAAAACATTCTTCGCATCCCAAAAAATCTGTTACTCCACGTTTTACAAAAAGTTACAGATAAGTCGTCCAATTGTTCTATAGTTTTAGCGTGAAATACGAAACATAGTAGACATGCAACTATTTGACAAGCGAACATCGTTCGCCGCGAAGCTGAAATCTGAACAGATCAAAGATCTACAGAACTCGAGTTTACGTGTATCTGTCGGATGAATCGCGATCTCGGGACGGTTAAAGAGAAGCCTGTTAGGGCTGCGGCAGCTGGGCGCCGAGCACTGTTGCCGCGGGATGCCCCGATAATTTCGGCAAAGACCTCGGCCCATGATTTGCATCGCACCGGCGAATTTAACCGTTAACGCGAACCAATCTGGTCCAATCATGTACAGCCGGCCGGCTTCTATTAAACCCTTAACGTTCCGAATCGCGTGCACGTACCAGGAATCGTCTGTCTCGAATCTTCGTGGATCGTTCTCGTGCACAGCGACGACTCGTGTTTCGTTGATCGCACGTTTCCAACGAAAACCGCATCGAGATCGTGGCAAGTTCATCGCATCTATGACGATAATCTCCATCAATCGTTGATCGTCGACTCTCGCGATCTAAAACGTTTCAACTAATCAGCTAAGTCCTCTGTGATCGTGTACATACATTGTGCAGTTTGTTCGTAATTCTTTATATTTTTTCATTTGTTCCTTTCATTTCGCCAAACATCTACAAATCTACGAATATGCGTGACGTTCCACTAAAGCCGCAATGCGAATAACAGATGGTAATTAGTTCGCTCGCGTGACGAGCATACCGGTCGCAACAGAAAAGTTACGAGCATCGATTCACAAGGAATACGAGCAATTTCTTCGAGACGAGTGTACTCGTCGATCACAGGCAACCGGTTGACCGATTCATTCGCGGAAAATAAATAGAATATCGGCGACCCGGCTGCAAAGGATCCCACATGCGCGAGAGCGAACGAGCGCTAATGAACTTGTCGAGAACTGAAGCCGCGGGCGCGACGAGCGAGCGTTCGGCATCGCGACCGCGCCGCGGAGACAACCGGTTTCGGGTTTTACGACGCCGATCGACCGCGGAAAATTGCCGATAATCGAAGTGTGTCGGACTCGGCGGCGTCGTTCCACGGGAAATTACGTATTCCGCTTGCACGCGTCCGTCGCGGCGGTGTTCCTCGGTGCGCTCGGTGCATCTGCCGGACAGTGGACCCTCGTTACATGTTTTCTTGATAATTTAGATTGCTTGCCGAGCAGCGAATTAGCGTCGATAACGAGATTATGCGTGTTCTCGCATGAAAGCTGATCGATCAGACCGGCGTTTCCTTCGGAGATCGCTTCCCGTGCAACAAAGAGTGCTTAAAGTTTAATCAAAGTTTAAATCGGAGCGTTTAGGGACTATAGCGGTACTATATTACAGATAATGAAAGAGTGGATCTTGAGTAATCGAGAGCTAGGAATAAATACATGTATTTAATAAGATATGGAAGCAACACGGGCAACACGCAAAGAGTACAACTCGATGCCGCGGAGGCCAACACACGACTCTGCTCCCGCAACTCTCTCACAGACATTCTCTCCCAAAAATCATTCTCTCCCCACAAGCATTCTTCTCGCTCGCACTCGTCACAAACACTCGGATGCACCCCTGGAAAGCGGGCCCTGCAATCTTGGGTCCGCGACGTTGCGCAGGCCACTTTCCCTCGATCTTTTTACAGCCTGTCTTTCGCTCACACTCATTCTTACATTCGCTCTTCTTAAAAATACCTTAACCTACGCTAAGAATTCTAGATACTACAATATTTTCTAACGAGATCGGTACATTCTACTCTATTAACCCATCGCCGCACTTTCAGTTTCAAAGCCCGGAAACGCAGTTTCTTTGAATTGTTTGGTCCGACTTGTTCAGGTCGTGAAAAATCGTACATAGAATTAATTTATGTGTTATTTAGACTGTTACGTAATTCTTGTTCAACGTTGAACATACTATGATTTCCATTTAGATTGTTTCCACTTTCCCTCGACCGTTTTACAGCCTGTCCTCCACTCACACTCATTCTTACATTCACTCTTCTTAAGAACACCTTAATGTACGCTAAAAATTCTAGATACTACAGTACTGTATATTGCACGGGAACTGATTACAGCAGCACAGCTTGCAAAGCTGTTCCCGCACGCGCAATTTACAGTTCCAATCGGTTATCCTACTCTGTCGAAAGGGCCGCGAGAAAAGACGAAGGCCGACCCGGTAAACCCGAATTCCTGGCAAAGTTCAATCGACGTGCAACGAAGAGCAGAGTGCACGGAAACCGGCTGCCGATGAATCAATTGAAACCGCGGAACTGTGAATCGCCGGTTCCACGGGAGCGCGAACAATGAAAAAAGTTCGATGAAGGATTCGAAACGCGAGGTTCGCGCGCGCGAGGCTGTCCTCGAAACGGTATTAGCCGAGATTACGGGCATTCCCGTGGAATTCCGTTGCACGGCAGACAGAAGCGTTCGCGCGGTGTTTACGAGTTTCGCGAATCCGGAGACCGTAGGAATCGGCGAAAAGCTCTGCCGAGACGGCAGGTGCTCCTCGATGCCGAGCCAATATCGAGCGCGCCACCGTTGTTGCTCCACTCGGTCCCACTTGCCGGCTAAACGAGGACGCGGGGACCGAGGGAGACGCGGACAGCGATACGCAGTCCATTTGTCTGATAAATTTATCGCGTTCTCCTTTGAAGCCGACGCTCTAACGCGAAATAACGATCGACGCGAAATTATGCACGCAAGTATTCCGGCCGACGTGCATCTGCACCCTCGGCCAATGGAATATTCGCAAAGGCCGTCTCCGGGACCCGTTTAGCCGACGCGACGCGAGCTTACGCGCGACGCGGATCAACGTTCCCTCGAATTCATTCGGAAAAACGGGGCTCAAAGCGAAAGCCGCGGTCGTTAGACGCGAGAGTAACGGCCATCGGGAATACATACTCCCACCGTAACGCGAGCGCGATTTTTCTCTTGATACTCGGTCGCGTTGCGAACAGTCGTTTCACGCGTCCGCAATCTAATTATCATTCCAGGGTGAAGTTGATGAAACCGCTCGCGTCGCGCCCGCTCTATTCCGCGCGTTGAAATTTGTATGGAAAACAGATTGTCGCGTGAATCTTTTATCGGAAGGCTGGCGCGCAACGTCGCGTCGCGTCGACGGGAAATCGAATCACCGAGTCCAGACGCTTCGTCTTCGCGACTCTTCCCGCTCGTTGCGTAACCGCGGCAATT